AAGGGGGTACAGTGGGAAAGCAGGAAGTGGGCCCAGGAGGGTGACTCCCCCTGAATTGGGAGGGTAACAAATGCACTTTTCCCTGTTTGTGCAGCTTGTTTAATTTTTGCATTTCCCTCAGTTTGGACAATGAAAATAGACTGGTTAATTTACTTTTGTTTAGTCACTGTTAAGGATTTCATCCATTTTTACACCCCCGTTTCCACTGGAATTTAAAAACCAAAGTAATGGAAGGCTCTGGGCTTAAGTTTTGTGAAAGCTGTTGTTCATCTCCTCTCTTCCCAAAAATTGGTTTTTCAACCAAATTTGGCCTGACAGTGTCTCTTCTGTTTGTGAAAGCAGTGTTATAACTGATCATGCAATATTTCTGTATCTTGTACCCCTTGTCCAGCTTACATGCAGAAATGAAGCAGACTGCAGTAAAAAGAAGGAGCCATATCTTTCCCCCTGTATGTTAATCCTTTGTCTGCATGTAGGGCAAGGTTGTGAGCAACAATCTGAAACAAGCCTAAAAATGAAATGGCACACATGGTTCTTGTTAGTACAATTCTAATCGTTCCATTCTCTCATAGAAACAAATAAACTTATGTACTTTGGTCACATTAGGTGTAGAGATGGAAATAACCTTGAGAAATTTCTTATGGAAGGGATAGTGAAAGGTTGTCATGGCAGGGGACAACCAGCGAATGGTGTGTGGCAGATGACTGGAAGGTGAGCTGCTGAGTACTCAAAGTTAGCAATGGATGTTGAAGGCTTCCTACAATTCTGCTACGGTGTCACCGATATTCAGATATGAATAAACGGATTTACTTTACTAATTCTTAGCAACATTACATTTGTTTCTCATATAGCTATCCTTTGCCCTACCATAGGTGTGTGCCCTATCTCACTCAAAACCCATTAAGTTAATTACCTCAACCATGGTTCTAATATTTTCTTTTCAAAAAGATGGATAGTGTCTAGAAGGATGATGGGAGATGTCCGTGTTTACGTGCTTCCTACTCTTGCCTCCCTTGATCCTTTGGGGCAAAAGTTATGACACTTCAATTTAAAGATGTCTGAAAGAATAATTAGACTTGTCTAGAAACATAAATATAATCTATAGAAATAAAAAGAACTGTGCAGTTACTAGGGAAGGAAGATGGAAAGTGACTTGCCACGTTTTTCATAATAAAAAATAAAACTGCAGCTACTCAAGTAGTTCTAAGACCATTAAATATGCTGCTTTGTGGTGAGAATCACAGATTTTAACAATGGGATGGTGTCCTGTCAAAGTCAACTGTATCCTTACAGAGAGGCCAAACAAAGCCTTCCTTGGCTGAACGTAGCAGAGATTAAACCTGCAGTTATTTGGTGAGAGAACAGCTGAGAGCCTCCTGCTAAATTTTAATCACTCTGTTTTGTCAGATTACCAGAGGAACTGTTCTATTTGAATGTATGATCGCTCAATTCTGTTTTGTTAGAATCTCTCAGTACATAAATAAGGTCAGATAGATGCTTCTTTCTAGCTTGCTTGAATACACCTATTCTTTCCTGTTTAGAAGTAGTTTAATTTGTTTCTTTACTTGTTGGGGTAGTTCATGATGATGATGCAACCTGACGACATCAGATGCACCAGAGTTTTACATCCCCAGCCTCCTTCCTTTTTTTTTTTTTTTTTTTTTACTGGCAATCCCAGTTTTGTGCTATTTGTACAATGGAAAGTCCAGCTCCAAGTAGGAAGGGTTTTTTAGTGATCTTAAGCAATGTTTGTTTATGCTAAAATGAGTATATTTTATAGTACAAGTTAGGGTCCTGACTTAAGTTTATGCATGCATGCTTGAAAATGATAGAATTCTGATTCCATACTTCAACAACTAAATAAAAGTTCAGAAGTGTTGAGCTCTCACAGATTTTATAAAAAGAAAAGGAGTTTTTGTGGCACCTTAGAGACTAACCAATTTATTTGAGCATGAGCTTTCGTGAGCTACAGCTCACTTCATCGGATGCATACCGTGGAAACTGCAGCAGACTTTATATACACACAGAGACCATGAAACAATACCTCCTCCCACCCCACTATCCTGCTGGTAATAGCTTATCTAAAGTGATCATCAAGTTGGGCCATTTCCAGCACAAATCGAGGTTTTCTCACCCTCCGCCCCCCCCCCCCCCACACACACACAAACTCACTCTCCTGCTGGTAATAGCCCATCCAAAGTGACCACTCTCTTCACAATGTGTATGATAATCAAGGTGGGCCATTTCCTGCACAAATCCAGGTTCTCTCACTCCCTCACCCCCCTCCAAAAACCACACACACAAACTCACTCTCCTGCTGGTAATAGCTGGGAATATTGTGGGGGGGGGGGGCGGAGGGTGAGAAAACCTGGATTTGTGCTGGAAATGGCCCAACTTGATGATCACTTTAGATAAGCTATTACCAGCAGGACAGTGGGGTGGAAGGAGGTATTGTTTCATGGTCTCTGTGTGTATATAATGTCTTCTGCAGTTTCCACGGTATGCATCCGATGAAGTGAGCTGTAGCTCACGAAAGCTCATGCTCAAATAAATTGGTTAGTCTCTAAGGTGCCACAAGTACTCCTTTTCTTTTTGCGAAGACAGACTAACACGGCTGTTACTCTGAAACAGATTTTATAGACAACCATGGGATGTGCCGGCTTTCCCCACCCCTGAAAATCATGTCACTTTTATTTATGTTCCATGGCCCTTTGTCCAAATGTAGAGGAAAAACGACCTGAATAAATCACTTTTCTCTGAACCTAACATCCTGGTAATATTTAGGAAAACCGGGACTAGTCAGGGGTAACCCAATAAAGGTATAATACATTTTTACAGAAATTGTATTAACTTTTTGAAACTGTCAAAATCATTAGAAAACTTTTGAAATCATTATTTTCAATTGCATTGGAATCTTCAGATCTTTGTAAATGAACAGTCTTTGCTAGAGAGAACTTGTTAATAAGCCTAATGTGCTCATATGTTCTTAATGAAAGAAAAATTCACCATTCACTGTAAAAGTTAGCTTCTTGATTTATAAATTAAAACTCAACCATAGGCAGTATTTCTTCTATTCCTTGCACAACTGACCTCTGAACATCAAGGTGATAGATCACCCTTCTTGGTGCAGTAATATAACCACTCATTAAAACCTAACAGCTCTGATTGCCTTTGCCAGAGTGGCCACCAATCAGATACACCCAGGCTGGAAGACAATACCTCATTTAGAGAGATGAGGGTTTTTTCAAAGTGTAATTATGTTTCATAGCTGCTGCAGTGGCCATAGTCATGGCAGCACATACAGCAGGTTCAGTTGTTTCCAGTAAAGATTTATTTATGACAAATAAATAAATGTGTATTTTATGAAAGGTTGGGGGAACTTATAGTGCATTCTCTGATTTCCTCCATGGAGTGGCCATACAGATAAGTTCCTCATGGGTCAATAACTGACTGACAGACAAGAAATAAAGGGTAGGAATAAATGGTCATTTTTCAGAATGGAGAGAGAGAAATAGTGGTGTTCCCCCAGGAATCTGACTGGGACCAGTGCTGTTCAACATATTAATAAATGATCTGGAAAAAGGGGTATGCAGTGAGGTGGCAAAATTTGCAGATGATACAAATTACTCAGAATAGTTTAAGTCCAAAGCAGACCACAAGCAGGGCCGCCCAGAGGATTCAGGGGGCCTGGGGTCTTCGGCGGCGGGGGTCCTTCCACTCCGGGTCTTCAGGGCACTTTGCCGAAGACATGGAGCGGAAGGACCCCTCGCCGCCGAATTGCCGCTGAAGACCCAGAGCGGAAGAAGTAGCGGCAGGTCCTTCACTCCAGGTGTGTTCGGCAGCACTGAAGGACCCACCACCAAAAACTCTCGTGGGGGCCCCTGAAAACTCTCGTGGGGGCTCGTGTGGGGCCCGGGGTCTGGGGCAAATTGTCCCCCTTCCTCCCCCCCCCCCCCCGGGCAGCCCTGACCGCAAGGAATTACAATGGGATCTCTCAAAACTGGGTGACTGGGCAACAAAATGGCAAATAAAATTCAGTGTTGATAAGTGCAAAGTAATGCACATTGGAAAACAATACATACAAAATGAGGGGATCTAAATTAGTTGTACCATTCAAGAAAGATATCTTGGAAGAATAAGTTCATGGAGGATAGCTCCATCAATTGCTATAGTCAAGATGGTCAGGGATGCAATCCCATGCTCTGTGTGTCCCTAGCCTCTGACTGCCAGAATCTGAGAGTGGACAACTGGAGATGGCACTAATTGCCATGTACTGTTTGTTGCCTCTGAAGCACCTGGCACTGGCAATTGTTGGAAGACAGGAGACTGAGCTAGATGGACCATTGTTCTAAAGTTTGTGAGCAGCACCATTTAAATCTCTTTCTAACTAGCATAGTAGCTGAAGCTCACTATGGGATAGGATTCGGAAGACTGCTGAAAAAATGGGAAGTTTTTTTAAAAATGGAAGAGCTTCTGATAAAACAGAGGCAATTGTGGTCACCTCCCTTGAGTCACGTGGGGCTCTATTTCTCCATCCCCTGCCTAAAATGCTAGAGTACTGAGCTTAGGTGCAATATTTTTTAGAAGCCTGCTTTTTGAGATTGGATCCTTTCATTATTCTTGCATTTGTCAAAGCTTGTAGAGTATGGCACTTTATTTTCCTGTCATATAAAGCCTTTTAAGAATTTAAACTTTTAATTGAAAATTAGCTTTGAGTATAGTTAGAAATAGCCAGCTATGCCAATATCCTGTAATCATTTCTGTAAATGGCTTAAATAAAAGTGCTGTGTTGTTCTATGCTATTTTTCACTGTAATCTTATGTCTACCTGAATAATATTCAGACTGTATAAAATATTACCACTTTGCTGTTCGTTTAACAGGTAGGCTTTTAATGCTGCTTTTCATAGATGTAGATCTTCTGTTTCTCCATGTGGTAATTATTTTTAGAAAATATCTTATTTTCTCATTTTCTTTTTTTATTTTGGCTGCATTCTTTTAGAGGAAAAGTCCGGTAAGAAATCATTTGCTCTTTTTCTACATTTTCATAACTTTTTTTTTAACAGAATACTTTGGTGTTTTTCTGTTTCCTCTATCCATTTTTCACTTGTCTGTAGAACTGAAATGTAAAATGAAAATACTGTATATCATTGTTTACTAATGATGGCATCTATTCTTTCTCCTGTGGATTTAATTCAAAGGTATTTTTTAAATGAGCTAGGTTTCGCTTCCATTACATTTAATTATTTTCCCCTTTGGCTTGCATGAGAAGAGGAAACTTTGAGGGTGTTTTTTGCCCAAAGATTTATGGGATGAAATCCTGTTCCCAGTGTAGCCAATGAAAGTTTTCCCATCAACTTGGGTGGACCAGGATTTCACCCATGGTATGTTTAATGCACATTACATTGCATGTCCAGTTATCAGATGATGCGGAAACCAATAGTTCTATAGCATAACCTTTGCTGCTATAGTAACATTAACAATATGAATGTATTCTTGCCAAAGACTTGGTTATAAACGTTCGTGCCATAACATTGTGCAGGCCTACACAGAGTTTTGAACACTAAATGAGTTTTGTGGTCTGAGCACCAGATCTCAAGAGAGGAACTTCTAAATTCTAGTCTCATCTCTTATAATTACTCCTCCTATTGCCTTGGCCAAGTCCCTTGAACTTTCTGCCTCAATTGCCATCTGTAAAACAATGGTTTTCCTGACAGTCGGGAGTCTTGTGAGGTTTTGTTGGCTAATGTTTGGACTGAGAAGGGGGTTGTAAAATAAGCTGAGTGATAAGTTGTAGTTATTTAGGCATATTAGCTACATGTTCTGAAGCTGAACTCCCCTTTCTTCACTCTGCTACCTTACAGTAGCTCTTATTAAAGTTTTCTTGTGGTATATGGTAAATATTTTTTTCTTCCAAAATAGTTTTGAATAGATTTGAAGTGAAACAAGTGGACTTTTACTTTATCATTTAAAGAAACCAAATGTTGAAGAAATTTTACAAAGTATCTTGATTTTTAATATGGAAGAAAATACTACCTTGATCAAATAAATAAATTATAAGAGGACTTGCTAACTAAGAAGAACAATATGTAAACTGACCTTGTAATTGTAGAAAAAAAAATGTAAGGCCAGGTCCTTAACTCACCTAACTCAGTAGCGCTCAACTGAAGTTGGTGGAGCTATTGCATCTTACACTGGCTTTGGTTCTGGTCTATAAACTTCCCACTATAACAAAAATACCTTTTTAATTCATTTTCTCTATACCACTGCAACTTCAATTTGAAGTTAATTAGTAAATTTTATGAGGCGCTTTTCTGCAGTGCATCTGTATTGCAGGTGGTATTGGATTTCGATGTGGCTTTTGTTTCCTCTTCCAGAAATATGGAACTTCTTGATCGTAGCTGTCTGCATAACAGTTCACAAATAACAGTCAAGTTTTATTAGAAAATCTAAATCAGAATTTGAATGCTCTCCTGGCTTTTACAAAAACACTCATGCCTTTAATTAACTAAGGTACTTTTGTTTACCCAGTGGCCAATGGACTTTGTCACTGGTCTGTTGAATTTCACATCGTTTTTTTCCTGCTTTACTTATTTCCTTTGCTGGGCAGTATAGACAGCTGCATTCATAGACATAAAATGGCCTACCTGCTGCAAAATGAGAGATGACTTGTCCCGTGGTAGGATAGATGAGCTAACCAAAGATACAGAGGTCTGGTCTAGTCTTCATTGTGGACATAACTCCCATAAACCTTAATGGAAGTAATACATGCAGAACAAGGGGAGAATACGGATCAGGGCAAAGACCAAAATATGAGATGGCACTGGGATAATGGGGAGTGGAGGGCTAGGGGGCTGGAGAATATGAGAGAGATGCAATTAAGGTTTCAGTTGAATCTGACTATTTGTTATGTAAAACTACTGAAGTGCTCTGTTTTTTAAACAATTAAAATTCTTCTCAAACTTACACAAATACATACAATTAAAAGCCTCATTGGACTAATAAATTTATCACATCTACTCCATTAATGAAACATTCTTAATCTGATCAGATTCCTGAATTCAATAGAAAAAGGACTAACCTAGCAAAGACTATCTTGAGTGGAACTGTCAACTATTCATTAACAAATATCACAGAGCTGTGGGAAAAGTCCGGAAAACATCAGCTGAACAGTCCTGTATTTATTGTACATCGAACTGACAGCGGAGCTTTGAGAAACAACAGGAGTATGCCCCTGGCACTCGTGATTTTGACATGTCTGACTGACAGCATGTAAAGTTCCAAAACCCGACACCATCTGTCTGCAGAACACCTAGATAACTGAAACACAACTCTGAGATATGCTATGAGTAACTTCAATTTTGATTGACACATACATGGTGATAGTAAGTTGCAGTTGTTTATTACAGGAAAAAGATTACCAGTTGGCTACACCAAAGGAAAAAACAAAAAAACCCTCAAAGGCAGATTAGGAGGTTCCTTGGAAAACTGTGGAAAAACAACATGCATCCCTTTATTTACTTTCTTTGTGACTTTGACATAACTGGCCATGATGGCACATGTATCATGGCTTTTCCAGTTTCTTTTTTTCACAAGAATCTAACATTGAGAAATGTGAACATCTCAAATCCCTGACCTTATCTGGCAGAGAGGTCGTAAGAACTTGTATGGTTCTTGATTTGGAACATCACCAGTTGCTTCTAAAACCTTATATGAATGTAATTGTTCTTGATTACAGATTATATGTCCCTGAAAAATTCCCTCTCCATTTCCGATGTGACATTTGACATTAAGAATGTGTGTGTGTATTGGCAGGGAAAAGGGAGATGTCCTTGCCCCAGTTCAGTAACTGTCAATTACTATTTGCAGTAAATACACCACAATTCAGCTTAGTATTGTCTTCAAAAATGGTTAGTACTTTTGTATCAAATTCGTTAACCCAAAGACACCGTCTCTTTCAGGTATTTGTGCAGGTGTGAGAAGAATATTAATGGTTTTGAAGAATATGTAGTACCTTACTCTCAGCTTCGTCACTGATTTCATGAAACTTAGTTTTATCCATAATTTTTAACTTATCTCTGCTGTAACACGCACATGCTGTATATGTATATACATTCAGTTATATACAAGCGCACACAATGGGCCACATGTTCAGCCTTTCTCTGGTTGCTTTGCTTTGCTTTGCTTTGCTCTGACAGCACAGAGCAGCCCCAAACCCTGCCAATCCAGCCCTCTGTGGGTTCCTCCTATGCTTATGTAGTAGCTCTAGGAGATGTGAACAGGAACACCAGTGTGTCTCATGGTTCCCAGCTACTGGTACAGCACTTAGGAGTCATAGGCAGCTAGAAGCAATTTAAAGGATATCTGAGGTTGCTGGAGTTTCTAACCCCAGGATCAGGGAGCTGCAGAGTACCTTAAAGCAGACCCCACTTCCCACCCACTGCACCAAGCTTGTCAGCTGCAGCTGAAGATCTATGCCAGCATCTTCTCTATTGCTTGTATCAGTGTGTAAAGTTATAGCGATACCAAAGCGAATCCAAGCCAAAGAAATAACATCCTGTGTTGTCCAAACATGGTCCGTGAAGCTAGTAACATAGCTGATGGGAGCACACATAGAAGGTTCTCATTGGGGCTTAGTGTCCTTTTAAATAAGGAAGGGATTTTCATAGAAACATAGAAGTTAATCATAAAAAAGTAGGACTCAAAGGGACCTCAGTAGGTCATCTAGTCCAGTCTCTGCACTTAAGGCAGAACTACGTAATAACTAGACCATTCCTGACAGGTTTGTCTAACTTGTTCTTAAAAATCTCCAGTGATGGAGATTCTACAACCTCTCTAGGGCTTTCATATTCATTGGAAGACACTTAGGAGAGAATACTGATAAACTCCATGAATATGCACAGCTTTCTACCCCATTATACCTCTGAAGCATACGCCAAAGTGTTGGCTTATTATATTCTTTTCTTGTTCTGCTACTGAGTTACCTTTGTCTGTACAGTAGTAAGGACACAGGAGTACCCAGAACCACAAGTTCAGACTTTTTTTGGCTGGGGATGGGGGGGGGGTTAATTGCTACCTCATAATCCTTTCTTCTTGTGCTCCACCTCTGGCTGAGTTTTCTTACTCACTCTTTTTACATTGGCTCACATTAACAAGTATTTTTCCTTATCGATAATACAGTCATCATTTTGCTGGTACAGCATGTTCTCAAACCCTGTGGTTTTCATTTCAATCAACTGAAAATTTCCAAGGAAATATTTTCTCTTTCTGTTAATGGCAATTATTCCTCTCCTGAAAATAACCTTTTGTAGAGTTTTTTTTTTTTTAACCTCATTGTTACCCTGGCATTCAGAACCAACTGCCTCTCAGTCCAGTTCTGTTTCTCAAATATATATATAATGTACTCATCACCATGGTATTTAGGTGCCGTCTATTTGAAATAGTTGCTGGTCTGTTGCAGTTTCTTTATCCTCACAAGATTTGGGTTTGAAGAATGTCTTCCCAGGGGAGGTCTGTGGCTGGTTTTCGGCAGTGTTCTCAAAGTTTAAAGACGCCTCCGGGTGAGATTACACCCTGCATAGATTGCATAACCCATTAAACTGCATTGTAGAGGTGGGTGAGAATTGAGGTGTCTTTAAAACATGTGGGCTCCATTTGACACCTGACTTAGCACCCAAAAATACTTAATTTCTTTTAACAAAAGGCTTCCTGTAGCCTGGTAAATTAAATATATATTTTAAATGGCGCTTCAAATATTTTGGGTTTATTCTTATATTAATATACCTTTTTTTAAATTCTGGGTTTTTCCCCTCCTCATGGAAGGGTCCTGTGAGCTCCAATGATGCCTCCTCCCTGACTTTTCCTCTTGAGAAGAAACTGTCATCTTTCAATTATCTATCAAATTGCTTTGTAGCATTTTGTGATTTACAAATGTGGATTAAAATTAAACCAGCCAACTGCTGTTCGCTTTGAATCTGACCTGGGCCTTGACTCCAGGTGTCTTGAGGTGAAAGGCTAGTGCCCCAAGCTAGATAATTTTTATAACGTATTTTAAGCTTAGTCCTTCAGTGGATTGTTAGTCAGAGATTTGAACTGTGACATACAAGTCCCTCTAACTCTATCTTATTAGTCTCATGGTGTAAGAGAAGCTAAAGTGGCTGAAAATTGTGCAGAGACAATTCCAGGTGCTACAGGAACAAGGAACAAAATTAGCTTATTCCTATAGAGATCACCAGGACACCCTTCGTTGTTTATGGTAGATATTTTTACTGTAAAAAAGCAACATGACCTGGTGCTTAGTTCCTGGGACTTTGAGCTCGGAACTACTGAATTCTAATAGCAGCTCCTCGTGACTCTGGGCTAATCACATGCCCCCCGTCCTGCAGTGAGCTCCAGTGGCTCTAATATTGGTAATACCCAGCATTCTTACATCTCCGCTCAGGGGGAATTGAGGTTGCTCAGCACCTAAGAGTCATGTCCTTAGTCCTCTATCTCTGTTTATTTTCTTCCTCTGTAAAACTTGGATAAGAATATGGTACCTCCTTCCCAGGTGCACTGAGCATTGATTGTGAAGTGTTTTGAAAAATGTAATATTTAAAACACTCTTGAGGCTTAATATATAAAACATGTTGAGTATTTGCTATCCCCTGCAGCCCTAATATTACTATCTCAGAGAGGGAAAGAGATCTATATGTCTGGACTGTGCCTGTCCTAGAGCATTGGCTTCTTGGGACAAGGACAATCTGGAATGCGTTGTACACACCAGTGTTCAGTTCTCACTCTCACTCTCTCTCTGTAGTTGTGATGACCCCCAACAATAATTAAAATACTGCATTTGATTGTTTTAATTTGCCTCTTCCTGAAAAATTATCCATTGACTCAGCTTTATTTTATGGCATGATCCTAAAGAACTGAGGAATTATTGCAAAGACAGAACAAGAGGAAGGGAACTTGATCTTGAGATCAGATGCATACATGTTAAGTCTCCACAGGTTGGATACCATCTCTCAGGCTTCCTCAAGAAATCTCCTGTGTTTTCTCCCATGATTTTTTTCTTGAAACTGTTTATGTGGGTGGGTTCAGACAACTCTTCTCCATTGTGCAATCTCCCAGCACTCTCCCTCTGCTCTCCACGAGCTGGTCATATTGTGAGGAGTATGGTAGCTGAGAACAGAGGAGCCTGAAAGACAACATGAGCCATGCAAACCAGCCCATCTGCTTGCCCAGTACTCCTGAGAGAGGAAAAGTGCTTGTAAGGGGGTTTCTAACTTCAGAACTGAGTTGTGAGGAGGGGAGAGCTCCAGTCCCACAGGAATGAGGGGAGGGAGAAGATGCTTGTAGAGATGCCTGAGGGGTGTACTTATTACATCTAAAGTTGGGTACTTCAGGCACCCTAACAGACATCTTCCATCCCACTGTGATTCTGGAGCCTAATGTTTATGTAGTTTACCCCCAAAATTCCTGACAGCCTTGTAACTCTCTAAAAAGGATATATAAAGCAGGTTCAATGTCATCACCATTAATGAGCAAAACCCAAATTTGGGTGGGAGTGGGGGTGTGGGAGTTCACTTTTCAAAACACTGTATCTGTTTAATTAGAAAGATCTCATATTACCCAAGTCTGTTTACTGATCTGTCATTCTCTGACTAGGTGTCTGTTCTCTCTTCCTTCTTGCTGATCACAGAGGCGCAGCCCGGTAAGAACTCTTACAATTTTGTAGTCCTTACATTTGTTGTGAAAATGGCTGACTGGTTGTTGGGGTCTGGTTTATTTAGCCTTAAATCATTTTTTCCCTAGGTATCTGTAGTGAAGTAAATGAATGTAAACTTTATTTGGTGTAAGGTTTTTTGTTTTTTTGTTTGTTTGTTTTTAAACCTTCTGAATGATGTATCAGAGAGAAGTCAATATACATGTTTCTTTGTTCAAATACATATGTATTTGTATTAGTCGCTCAGGGTTCAGTCCAGCAGCAGTATGAATGAGTTATAGTTATGAGAGCAGGCCTGAGCCATCAGTGCTTTGTTACTGGGCCGCTGAGCATGGTGTAGTGTTGTTCTTGCAGTCCAAAAGGGTGAAGAAAACCGAAGGGAGAAGGTGCTTCAGGCTAATGGCAAGAACACTGTGCCTAGCACACACGCTAAAGCATTGAGCATCTTGTTGTGGGAGATGTTCCATGAGACCCTTCTGAGGTGTTCTCCCGTGGCTGCCCCTGCCCTGTTGCTTAAGAGCTGGCCTTAAAAGAACACAGGAATAGGTGCTACTCCGATAGGTGCTTGGAATAAATTAAAATCCTGGAAATGGCTGCCATTCATATCAATTGCATTTCAGTACCTATTCCTCAACCATGCCCTATCCTTGTCTCCCCTGCCATTCTGTCCACATCCCCCACAACTCCATTGCTCACTTCAGTGGAATTAGAGTTTTGCTGACCTTGCTGAACACTGTCCAGGGAAGCTAGACCACTGCTCTCCTCACTTTTCTCAGTAGTGCTCTGTAGACTTCTGGATAAACCTCTGCTCTGTGCAATTCCACTGCTCTGCCTGATGGCTGAATGGGACCAGCAGCCCTCAAGGCAAATGTGAATGAACTTGTAGAAAACATGATGTTGGAGGGAGAAAATATGCCCTTCCCTCAAAATCAGAAACTTTCCTAGAGCAGCTATTCCCCCATCATGCATGGGGAAAAAAGGCTTCTCCTTTGTGTCATGAAGGTAAGGGAAACCCTTGCATTAAGAAATGTCACATAGAGCTGTGGCATAGGTAATTTACTAGGTTATTACCACATAACATTGCACCATGGTAACTGCATTAGGAACAACCATAAGCATGTTAACATTGCTGTATTGTCTCATGTTGTTGACAAATAACCACCCATCACCTCTGATGTCCCCGTCCCCCTCCACCGGAGATGTGTATTACAAATACATACTGCATCTTCTTTTCCCCTTCTCTTTTTTAGAGGTTGGTCTGTTGTATATCTGATTTTTTTTCTCCTGTTTTAACAATTTCTACTTCTAATAGTCTTCTGGATTCTTACTAGTTCACAAGCAGCCTGAAGTGTTCCCTAGGTCTTTCACTAGCTTGCCAGTGTGTTTAATGTAGGGGTGTGTGTGTGTGTGTGTATGCGTGCGTGTGTGTATATATATACACACACGGTTTAAAATACTGAAAGTAGGTCACTTGATTTAGACCAATTTATAGACCATCAAAGTTCAGGATTGTTTTAAAGGATTCATCGCAATTAAAAATGACTAATCAATTTACAATCAAGTCAGCTGTAAACACAACATTCCCAGGTAATGGGTTTATCTGGCTCGCAATCCTTTTCATTATTTATCTCTGTCCTCCTCAAATCAGGAGCAAAACTGATTCCATAACATGTACATGTGTGTCATAAAGGTAATTACCAGTATGGATGGTGGATTGGAGTCAAATTTCATTTATTCCTTAGTATTGATGCTTGTCTTCTCAATCAAATTGAGATGTCAGCTTTTGTTACCTGTTTTACATATAAATTATGCTCACCTGGTCCTAAACCTTAGTGTTTGTTTCTAATTCCAGGGCTCAATTAAAAGGAATTTATCCAGTAAGTATATATTTTTTTAGCTTGCAGGAACAGATAGTGTCTCAAGAAGATTGATTCTCTCATGAACTTTAAAGAAGGCAAATTTACTTCAAAACGTGCTTCTCTATGTAGTTTTCAAAGTACACTTAAACTTTCATTTCCCAAAGAGTAACTCTTAAAGGAGAACTCTAGGTACTGTATTAATGGCTGAGTCCTTGAAATGGATTTGGGATGCAGTGCATGTGCCATTGAACTGCGGTATGTAGTGTTCCACCCTTCAAGAATGTGTTGCTTATAAAATTAACTTAGTCCAGAGGTGGCCAAACTATGGCCTGCGGGCCACATCCGGCCCGTGGGACTGTCCTGTCTGGCTCCTGAGCTCCCGGCCAGGGAGGCTAGCTCCCGGCCCCTCCTCTGCTGTTCCCCCTCCTCTGCAGCTACGCTGCCGTGCGGGCAGCACTCTGGGTGGCGGGGCTGCACGCTTATGCTGGGCTGGGCGGTGGGGCTGCCAGACATGCCGCTCTGAGTGGCATGGTAAGGGGGCTGGGGCCGGGGCCAGGGGGTTGATGGGGCAGGGGGTCCCGGGGGATAGTCAGGGGACAGGGAGCAGGGGGTGGTTGGATAGGGCAGAGGTTCTGGGTGGGGAGGGGATGGGGAACAGCGGTGGCAGTTAGGGGCGGGGGTCCTGGGAGGGGGTCAAGGAGCGGGGGGGGGGTTGGATGGGTGGGAGGTTCTGAGGGGGGCAGTCAGGGGGTGGGAAGTGGGTCGGATAGGGGCGGAGGCCAGGCTTTTTGGGGAGGCACAGTCTTCCCTACCCGGCCCTCCATACAGTTTCACACTCCAATGTGGTCCTCTGGCCAAAAAGTTTGCCCACCTCTGACTTAGTCTATTAATGTGATATGATGCCTCTAAAGTCAAAAGGCGAATGGAGCATTCTAAGTTGGGGGTACACAACCCTGTTCAACAGACTATGTTTCTTAAACTGTCAAATAGTCCCAACCACACAATTTTTAATAAGGAGGAATGAAGAAGGCAAAGCTAGTGCTTATGCCTTTGCACTCTCAAGTCAGAAAAATTAGGTAGCAGACAACTAGATTCTGCTTTCTCTGCAGACAGCTATACAATGGGCTTGGTATTGGCAACTTGCTGAATACATATATTTGTATATTAAGAGATTAATATATTTGTTGAGGAGCTGAATTACACTTCTTCACCTTATTATGGGTTGAGATCACACAGCCTCTTACTTCTGTGTCAGTGACCAAGTTTAATTTTTAGTATGAAGTGCATGCTAGTTTCATGTAGTTGATGTGACCCACATATTTGAGTAGTTCATGTGAAAAATTGAGATACAGAACTCAAGTGAAAACTGATCTAAACAGAACTATCATATGTAACAGGTGAAGAGATAGCAAGACCTAGGCGTTCAACACCAACTCCAGAACTTGTAAGGTCAGTATGAAAGAAATTGTAAATTAATCTAGATATTGCACAAATATTAGTCTGGGATCCTTGTACCAAAGGTAGAGATGAGCAGTTAACTTATTACCTAACCCACAACTACTTTGAGAGTGGATAGCCTGTTAGTTTTGTACATGAAAATCTGTAAAACTATCTAGATTTGATACCATTCTTGGTAGCAACTTCAGGAAAAAAGCATTTCTTAAAAACACCATCTCCAGCACTTCCTCTTACTTCCTGGAACCAATCATAATTTTAAGAATGATGTAAAAAAGTGGAAGTGCCCTCCATGATGTAAAGTAAATTTTATCAATATATTCTCCTGCCTGCTGGGTCAAGATGACTCAGGGTATGTCTACACTACAAAATTAGGTCGAATTTGTAGAAGTCGGTTTTTTAGAAATCGTTTTTATATATTTGAGTGTGTGTGTCCCCACAGAAAATGCTCTAAGTGCATTAAGTGCATTAACTTGGCGGAGTGCTTTCACAGTACCGAGGCAAGCGTCGACTTCCGGAGTGTTGCACTGTGGGTAGCTATCCCACAATTCCCGCAGTCTCCGCTGCCCATTGGAATTCTGGGTTGAGATCCCAATGCCTGATGGGGCTAAAACATTGTCGCCAGGCCCCCGTTCCCTCCCTCCCTCCGTGAAAGCAGCAGCAGACAATCGTTTCGCGCCTTTTTTCTTGAGTTACCTGTGCAGATGCCATACCACGGCAAGCATGGAGCCCGCTCAGGTAACTGTCACCGTATGTCTCCTGGGTGCTGGCAGACGTGGTACTGCATTGCTACACAGCAGCAGCAACCCCTTGCCTTGTGGCAGCAGACGGTGCAGTAGGACTGGTAGCCGTCACCGTCATGTCCGAGGTGCTCCTGGCCACGTCGGCCAGGAGCGCCTGGGCAGACATGGGTACAGGGACTACATTGGAAGTGACTTGACCAGGTCATTCTCTTTAGTCCTGCAGTCAGTCCTATTGAACCATCTTATGGTGAGCAGGCAGGCGATACGGATTGCTAGCAGTCTTACTGTACCATCTTCTGCCAGGCAGGCAAGAGATGAGATGGCTAGCAGTCCTACTGCATCATCTTCTGCCGAGCAGCCATGAGATGTGGATGGCTTGCAGTCCTTCTGCACCGTCTGCTGCCAGCCAAAGATGTAAAAGATAGATGGAGTGGATCAAAACAAGAAATAAACCAGATTTTTTTGTACTCATTTGCTTTCCCCCCTCCCCAGTCTAGGGGACTCATTCCTCTAGGTCATCCTGCAGTCACTCGCAGAGAAGGTGCAGCGAGGTAAATCTAGCCATGTATCAATCAGAGGTCAGACAACCTGCTTGTTCCAATAAGAACAATTACTTAGGTGCACCATTTCTTATTGGAACCCTCCGTGAAGTCCTGCCTGAAATACTCATTGATGTAAAGACACCCCCTTTGTTGATTTTAATTCCCTGTAAGCCAACCCTGTAAACCATGTCGTCAGTCGCCCCTCCCTCCGTCAGAGCAATGGCAGACAATCGTTCTGCATCTTTTTTCTGTGCGGATGCCATACCAAGGCAAGCATGGAGGCCGCTCAGCTCACTTTGGCAATTAGGAGCACATTAAACACCACACGCATTATCCAGCAGTATATGCAGCACCAGAACCTGGCAGAACGATACCGGGCGAGGAGGCGACGTCAGCGCAGTCACGTGAGTGATCAGGACATGGACACAGATTTCTCTGAAAGCATGGGCCCAGCCAATGCATACATCATGGTGCTAATCGGGCAGGTTCATGCTGTGGAACGCTGATTCTGGGCTCGGGAAACAAGCACAGACTGGTGGGACCGCATAGTGTTGCAAGTCTGGGACGATTCCCAGTGGCTGCGAAACTTTCGCATGCATAAGGGCACTTTCATGGAACTTTGTGACTTGCTTTCCCCTAACCTGAAGCGCATGAATACCAAGATGAGAGCAGCCCTCACAGTTGAGAAGCGAGTGGCGATAGACCTGTGGAAGCTTGCAACGCCAGACAGCTACCGGTCAGTTGGGAATCAATTTGGAGTGAGCAAATCTACTGTGGGGGCTGCTGTGATGCAAGTAGCCCACGCAATCAAAGATCTGCTGATATCAAGGGTAGTGACCCTGGGAAATGTGCAGGTCATAGTGGATGGCTTTGCTGCAGTGGGATTGCCTAACTGTGGTGGGGCCATAGACGGAACCCATTTCCCTATCTTGGCACCAGAGCACCAAGCCAGCGAGTACATAAACCGCAAGGGGTACTTTTCAATAGTGCTGCAACCTCTGGTGGATCACAAGGGACGTTTCACCAATATCAACGTGGGATGGCCGGGAAAGGTACATGACGCTCGCATCTTCAGGAACTCTGGTCTGTTTCAAAAGCTGCGGGAAGGGCTTTACTTCCCAGTCCAGAAAATAACTGTTGGGGATGTTGAAATGCCTATAGTTATCTTTGGGGACCCAGCCTACCCCTTAATGCCCTGGCTCATGAAGCCGTACACAGGCAGCCTGGACAGTAGTCACGAGCTATTCAACTACAGGCTGAACAAGAGCAGAATGGTGGTAGAATGTGCATTTGGACGTTTAAAGGCGCGCTGGCGCGGTTTACTGACTCGCTTAGACCTCAGCAAAACCAATATTCCCACTGTTATTACTGCTTGCTGTGCGCTCCACAATATCTGTGAGAGTAAGGGGGAGACGTTTATGGCGGGGTGGGAGGTTGAGGCAAATCGCCTGGCTGCTGGTTACACGCAGCCAGACACCAGAGCGGTTAGAAGAGCACAGGAGGGCATGGTGCGCATCAGAGAAGCTTTGAAAACCAGTTTCATGACTGGCCAGGCTACGGTGTGAAAGTTCTGTTTGTTTCTCCTTGATGAAACCCCCTGCCCCTTGGTTCACTCTACTTCCCAGTAAGCTAACCACCCTCCTCTCCTCCCTTCAATCACCGCTTGCAGAGGCAATAAAGTCATTGTTGCTTCACATTCATGCATTCTTTATTCATTCATCACACAAATAGGGGGATGACTACCAAGGTAGCCCAGGAGGGGTGGTGGAGGAGGGAAGGACAAGGCCACAAGGACTTTAAAAGTTTAAAACTTTAATACTTATTGAATGCCAGCCTTCTTTTTTTTGGGCAATCCTCTGTGGTGGAGTGGCTGGTTGGCCGGAGGCCCCCCCACCATGTTCTTGGGCGTCTGGGTCAGGAGGCTATGGAACTTGGGGAGGAGGGCGTTTGGTTACACAGGGTCTGTAGTGGCAGTCTGTGCTCCAGCTGCCTTTGCTGCAGCTCAACCATACACTGGAGCATACTGGTTTGATCCTCCAGCAGCCTCAGCATTGGATCCTGCCTCCTCTCATCACGCTGCCGCCACATTTGTGCTTCAGCCCCGTCTTCAGCCCGCCACTTACTCTCTTCAGCCCGCCACCTCTCCTCCCGGTCATTTTGTGCTTTCCTGCACTCTGACATTATTTGCCTCCACGTATTCATCTGTGCTCTGTCAGTGTGGGAGGACAGCATGAGCTCAGAGAACATTTCATCACGAGTGAGGTTTTTTTTCTTTCTAATCTTCACTAGCCTCTGGGAAGGAGAAGATCCTGTGATCATTGAAACACATGCAGCTGGTGGAGAAAAAAAAAGGGACAGCGGTATTTAAAAAGACATTTTATAAAACAGTGGCTACACTCTTTCAGGGTAAACCTTGCTGTTAACATTACATACATAGCACATGTGCTTTTGTTACAAGGTCACATTTTGCCTCCCCCCCACCGCATGGCTACCCCCTCAACCCTCCCCCCCTCCCCGTGGCTAACAGTGGGGAACATTTCTGTTCAGCCACAGGCAAACAGCCCAGCAGGAACGGGCACCTCTGAAGAAAAGCACCCTATTTCAACCAGGTGACCATGAATGATATCTCACTCTCCTGAGGATAACACAGAGAGATAAAGAACGGCTGTTGTTTGAACGCCAGCAAACATACACTGCAATGCTTTGTTGTACAATGATTCCCGAGTACGTGTTACTGGCCTGGAGTGGTAAAGTGTCCTACCATGGAGGACACAATAAGGCTGCCCTCCCCAGAAACCTTTTGCAAAGGCTTTGGGAGTACATCCAGGAGAGCCGCGAATGCCAGGGCAAATTAATCCTTTCACATACTTGCTTTTAAACCATGTATAGTATTTTAAAAGGTACGCTCACCGGAGGTCCCTTCTCCGCCTGCCGGGTCCAGGAGGCAGCCTTGGGTGGGTTCGGGGGGTACTGGCTCCAGGTCCAGGGTGAGAAACAGTTCCTGGCTGTCGGGAAAACCGGTTTCTCCGCTTGCTTGCTGTGAGCTATCTACAACCTCATCATCATCTTCTTCGTCCCCAAAACCTGCTTCCGTGTTGCCTCCATCTCCATTGAAGGAGTCAAACAACATGGCTGGGGTAGTGGTGGCTGAACCCCCTAAAATGGCATGCAGCTCATCATAGAAGCGGCATGTTTTGGGCTCTGACCCGGAGCGGCCGTTCGCCTCTCTGGTTTTCTGGTAGGCTTGCCTCAGCTCCTTCAGTTTCACGCGGCACTGCTTCGGGTCCCTGTTATGGCCTCTGTCCTTCATGCCCTGGGAGATTTTGACAAAGGTTTTGGCATTTCGAAAACTGGAAAGGAGTTCTGATAGCACAGATTCCTCTTCCCATACAGCAATCAGATCCCGTATACCCCGTTCAGTCCGTGCTGGAGCTCTTTTGCGATTCTGGGACTTCATCGTGGTCACCTCTGCTGATGAGCTCTGCATGGTCACCTGCAGCTTGCCACGCTGGCCAAACAGAAAATGAGGTTCAAAAGTTCGCGGTTCTTTTCCTGTCTACCTGGCCAGTGCATCTGAGTTGAGAGTGCTGTCCAGAGCGGTAACAATGGAGCACTCTGGGATAGCTCCCGGAGGCCAATACCGTCAAATTGTGTCCACAGTACCCCAAATTCGACCCGGCAAGGCCGATTTAAGCGCTAATCCACTTGTCAGGGGTGGAGTAAGGAAATCAATTTTAAGAGCCCTTTAAGTCGAAAAAAAGGGCTTCATCGTGTGGACGGGTGCAGGTTTACATCGATTTAACGCTGCTAAATTCAACCTAAAGTCCTCGTGTAGACCAGGGCTCAGTGCCTGCCTGAAGAGTTCACTGTGTGCTTTAAGACTGATAAGAAAGCTTTATTTATCTCTACTTAGCTCCTGACCTGTGACAACTTAGCTGTCTGGTTATCACTAGCACAGCCACCTTCCATTTCACAGGTGGCTTTGCTGTATTTCACTGATGGGTGTCTAGTGTGTAATCAGACTTTTGCCTGTCTTGTTTGTAATCCATTTACCAAGCTATATTATTTGGGACCTTTGGTTGAAAGGTCAATCAAATCTTATGTAAATGTCAGTAATGGTATTTATTCATGATGCTTCCTCTCATGCTCACTATAACAACTTTGTAAGGCTATCAGATGCCATGGTGATAGGCACTATATCAAAATCTTAATAGACAGAGAAGCATACCACAGCAAATGCAGGAATAAAGACCTGTTGAGGCCATTTATATTAGTTTTCTTTATTCATGTTGGGATGATGCCATGATATTATAAAACAATCAGGTCTCTTCTCATCTTTGGAATAAAGCTATGGAATGAAACAGAAAAAAAGATAGCCAAGCCAAACATTTAATGTTAAACATCCCCCTCAGGGTTATGTTCTGCCACTGATGTGCAAGTAATTCATATCCAGAGTAATACTTGTTTGTATTAACAGGAGTTATCTATGTGATCTGTCTATATTAGTGCCTAGCTCCTTGTGTAGTATCTAAGCAATCTAATGGGTCCATGGCACTAGCAAAGATCCTTGTCACCTGAACTAAAGAAGAATCTTCACATTGGCTGTGTCTGCAGTGCAACTATGGGAGGGAGGGGTGTGAATCGCAGGACACATTGAAATGCTGCAATGCTCTGTAACTGCCCTGTGTGGACACTGCAGGCATGAACTAAAAGGTACCTAGTTTGTATTAGCATAGTCCTCTTCAAACTGAACAACTTTAACGTGAACCAGGTACTTTTTAGTTTGTGCCAGCAGCATTCACCTGGGTCAGTTACAGCACTTTGATGTATGCTGCACCTCAAACCCCTGTAGTCCAACAGGGCAGTACAGACAAGTTCTCGGTAAACCTAAGGGTTTTCTTCTTCCCTGTGGGTCAGCCACTAGCAGGCTGTTTAGTCAGACACTTGATCAATGCTGGCAGTATCTCCAGTAGAGAATGTGGTATGCATACATGCTATAAAACTTTAATACCACAGGTAGCACTGAGAGGCTAACACTTCAGAACCTCTTTATCTTTTAAGCCCATTTACAGTTTGTTCCTTACATTTCTTATGCTAATATTTGTATTATCCTGCAGCAAAAAAGCCCCAGATGATCCTTCAGCCCTTGCCCCACTGTTTGGCCCACCACTGGAGTCAGCATTTGAGGAACAAAAGTTGGAAGGTATAAAAATCGACAGGGGGTGGGTTGCTTGCTTGTTTGTTTACTAGCCTGGCCATTTTTAAAAAATGGGAACGTTAGTTTGAAATAAGCGTTCTTAAAAAATAAGTTCTGTAATAAGGTCAAATGTGCAACAAGTCTACTTGATCACTCTCCCTGCCATTGAGACATTGCACCCTAGCTAACTCCTTCCTGTACAATATATAGAAACTGGCACAGTCTGCAGATTATAAATTGATGATAAACATTTAACTAGCAGTTCCAGAGCATGCAAAATAATTACCCTCTCACGAAATAAAATTTAATCAATAATCAGTTTTGTAAGTAACTTACACTTCTGATACAAACCAAACCATAGTCACAGGGGATATCATATGCTCCTGGTGTAGGTCCTTCAATCCAATATAAACAGAACCACAGCGGGGATATAATTTTCTGGAGTCTCTCTCTGTTGAATAAAGAAAAGGAGTACTTGTGGCACCTTAGAGACTAACAAATTTATTTGAGCATAAGCTTTCATGAGCTACAGCTCACTGATGAAGTGAGCTGTAGCTCATGAAAGCTATGCTCAAATAAATTTGTTAGTCTCTAAGGTGCCACAAGTACTCCTTTTCTTTTTGTGAATACAGACTAACATGGTTGCTACTCTGAAACCTCTCTGAATATGTAACATCCTGGCATTTTCTCTGTGAATGTGATTTTCTATGTTGGGCAGATAGACCAGGCTTTTGAAACCCTTTTAAAAGGAACATCAGCTCCGGCCAGACAATGAGTCAGGGAGAAACATGTGCCAATCCAAGTACTGATGGAATGTTTGTATCTTCTGTCTGGTAGAAATTGGTACTGATAATTAATTAGTGGATTCTATAATTGAAATTAAATATTTTGTATTGCTTTGGTGTATGTGATTTATGTTTGTGTTCTTAGCTCCTTTAGATCAGACAGAGATATGGGGCTCTGTCCAGCCAGTGAATTCCAGTTTAGACTCTCCAAAACTACCAAGACCTTTTCCAACTGGAAGTAAGTTAAGTGTGGATTATCAGTCTGAAAAATTTATCTGGGCTATGGTATACTATGAGATTCTCTAACACTGTAATCATGTGGCAAGTTAGTTTATTTTTACTGGACTGACTTTAACTGCAATATACTAGAATGGAAAAAGGAGACATTCGTTTAATAATGTATTGGATGGATGGCTTTCAGAACAAAGGAGACAATGCACTTCATCCCTGGGGAGAGACATTACATGCAGAGGATTATCTGAATTGGCAAGGCTAAATTTGACTCTGTTTATCTGAAGGGAGAGAGAGATCTAGGAACAAATACAGCATATGATAAATACTATAGCGTCTGCTTATCTCAAAGAAAGATCCCGCTATCCTAAATTGGATTCACAGTTATATCTCCAGAGGAAATCATAGAAATGTAGGACTGGAAGAGCCCTTGAGGTCATCTATTTCAGCCTGCTACACTGAGGGAGGACCAAATATACCTAGATATCCATGACAAATGTTTGTCTAACCTGTTCTTGAAAACCTCCGGTGATGGGGATACCACAACCTCCCCTGGAAACCTGTTCCAGTATTTACCTGTCCTCAATAGTTTGAAAGATTCTTCCTAATATCTAACCTAAATCTCCCTTGCTTCAGATTAAACCCATTACTTCTTGTCCTACCTTCAGTGGACATGGAGAACAATTGATTGTCCTCTTCATGTATTCAAAGATTGTTATCAGGGCCACCCTCAGTTGTCTTTTCTCAAGACTAAACATGCCCGGTGGTTGTTTTTTTTTAACTTGTCCTCATAGGTCATATTTTCTAAACCTTTTATCATTTTTGTTGCTCTCCTCTGAGCGCTCTGATTTTTTTCCACATCTTTCTTAAAGTGTGGTGCCCAGAACTGGACATTGTACTCCAGCTGACATCTCATTGGTGCTGAGTAGAGCAGGACAATTGCCTCTTGTCTTATATATGACACTCCTGTTAATACACCCCAGAATGATATTATCCTTTTAGTAACTGCATCACACTGTTGTATCATAATCCATTTGTAATCCACTGTAACTCCCAGATCCCTTTCAGCAGTACTACTGCCTAGCCAGTTATTCCCCATTTTGTAGTTGTGCGTTTGATTTTTTCTTCCTAAGTGTAGTACTTTGCACTTGCCTTTATTGAAGTTCACCTTGATACAGATAGTGGTGATGCACACTAATTGCCCTATAGTCATCATTTAATTATGCAAGGATTTTAAAATAGTCTACCATGATAAAAAGTCATAGTCATTATCTCTGTACTGAATTTTGGGACACATGTGCAATTAATCTTTATCAACTCTGCACCTTCAATGGCATTAAAAAGAAGACACCCTGAACAGGAGGAACCTACAAAGAATCAAACACACCATGTTTTATGAGCTTAATGCATCTCTTGAATTTATATTCTTTCCTCTGACCTGTTTTTCAGCACCTCCACCACTTCCACCAAAAAACATTCCAGCTACACCACCCAGGACTGGTTCTCCCTTAACAGTTGGTATAGGTAAGAATGAGGCATTACGTTTATTAGCTCATGAAATAATACTGCATAAGATATATACCGTGCATAACTGAGCATGGTCCTGTAACCACTGACTCCAGAAGCCCCCCACCGACTTCAGTGCAATTTATGCATGTGTAAATGCTTACAGAATCAGGTCCATTCTGAGGAAATCTGCATAACAACCACGTATTTGAACGTACTTGTATATGTTTAACTCACGTGCATTTTATGTCTCCTTTTTATTTCCGATGTTTTGGCATCTATTGTGTTCAAAATTATACCACCTAAGTCCTCCATACAGAGCCCGTGATTTTTTTTGAATGATTGTCATCTTTACTATCTACTGGTTTATTTCCTCTCGCCCTTTTTAGTACTGAGCCATTTTAGTAAAGAAATGTGACACTAGTTCCAAAGTTATACCTGAAACTGTTATAGTAGCTCTTTAAATTGGCTTTTAACTTTCATTTTGAATGTTTTTTAAGGTTCAATTCTTATGAAATAAGGGTGCAAAACTAATGTTTCTTTTTCTAAGAGCAATTCAGGGTCTGATCCAGTCATTCTTGCACCCCAAACTCCTGTTGCTTTTCAAGGGGAGGCTTGGGTGCGAAGTTGGGATTTAATTTGGAATTAGAAAATCTCAGTGTTGTTCATGCAGAGGTATGCCAGAGAGCTATGTTAACTATAATACTTGTAAAGATCTATGCTGAAAGAAAGCTAGGCTATGTGGAATGCAACAGGAGTAAATGAGGTACTTACAGCATATGTTGCTCGCAGGCACAAATTTATCAACTAAAATCAGAACTGTATGTTTAAATAAAGAAATGCAATCATTGTTCTTTGATGCAGATGCATTGCATGAAAAACAATAGTTACATTACGCAACATGAACATACAATGCAAACGTGGTATATTATTGAGCCATTTAGTCATATAGAATCTCTATGCAATGAACTTAGTGCTCTATTCATCAATATCTTTATTCATACTCGCATATCTTCATTTTTCCATTTTATATCTGTGCAGTCTGATGGCAGTTGTCTACCTGCATAAAATAGCATTCATCAACAAGAGCAAATGAAGTACGCAGCCATGTGTGACAATATATAGGCTGGCTTTTGGCTTGCAGCATATTTCAGTATGTATATCAAGTGTGGTAAAACAGAAAGGTCTCTTTTTAAAATTGAACATTTTACTCCCTAAAATACAGCATGAGTTCTCTACGACAACAGAGTCGGAAGATGGTTTTCTAAAATCTAAGAATATGCAATAGATGTACACAGGAGTGTATGTAGTCATAATAGTAGTGGTGTAGTGGGTATAGCTGGGGACTCCTGGGTTCGACCATCTGTTGCCACTGACTGTGTGACTTTGGACAGATCACTGTGTTAATCAGTGTACCTCTTCATTAAATAGGTATTACACAACCTCCCTGTGATGTGGTTAGGCTTGCTTAACTTTGAGATCTTCCATAAAAGATGCTGTACTGTGTAAGTGTCCAGTCTGATCATCAGTATTCCACAGTAAGGAGAGATAAAAATCTGAGTACTAGAGGAATATGTGGGGTTTGTTTCCACTGGCTGCAATACAACTGGGTTGATGAATTCTATTTCCATATTGGTTACAAGGCTACATTTGCTCAAAAATTAACAACAAATGGTGCGTGATGATTCAGTTCATGAGTAAAGCCTTTAAAAAACCTTGTATCCACATTAGGTTACAGCTGAAACACATACACGCTATATGCTACAATATACTGCATGTACATTGCCAGTATATTTTATAAGTGTTCCAAAATAGTATATGTGCATGTATAAATATGCAGATTATCTCAGGTAAATCTCCGGTTCCTGTGCTTTGTGTGTATTTTTAATATTTAGTAATAATTCACAATCTTAAGTTATTTAGACCATACATAATGAACATCACTAGCCAATTATATATTTCAGTAGGATGCAGATATGATGTAAAGTAATATACAAGAAAGATATACATATGGTATATAGTGCATGCTTTTTTCATATAATGTATATATTTTAATCCCATATATGTTTTTGTACATTGTGCATAACCGTATTACGTAGATATTTTCATGCACATGAACTATGTCCCCAAAAGCTGGTAAGAAAACCTGCTTTTTAAGTATCTCTGCTGGAATGTAGCTGACTTTGCAAGCCCCATATAAATGTAGAGTATAGTGCAACTTCAGCTATACCATCAATATTAAAGTTTAAAATAAACTACTTTGACCACAGGAAGTGACCAGACAGCAACAGAGGTCAAAAGTGACAAACTACCATCAATCAATGACTTGGACAGCATTTTTGGCCCAGTATTGTCCCCCAAGTCTGTTGCTGTTAACGCAGAAGATAAGTGGGTCAATTTTTCCGATCAGTCCCCGGAAAACATAACAGCAGAGTTGACTTCAAGTGAAAAAGTGGTGTCCCCACCTGTGGCATCAGAAATCCCAGCTGAATCTCCAGCTGTTGAAACCTCCCGCAATGTTCCATCACCTCTCAATTTAGAAGAGGTTCAGAAGAAAATTTCTGAGCAAACCCACGTTAAAGATGATAACTTAGAATCAACAGCATCTCCCAAAGATTTTGGGTTGGGACAGAGAGCTACACCACCTCCCCCTCCACCACCTACCTACAGAACAGTGGTGTCATCACCTGGACCCAGCCCCATCAGTGGCACAGGAAGCACCAGTGGTATGTCTTATAGCTTGAGTGTGCTTCAGTGTGCCCATGAATGCCTTTTTGCTGCAGTGTGAACACAACCTTTTAGCTGCTCTTAGTTGGCTTTTAAGCATCAGTCATTCCCTTTTGTTTGATTGTACTGTGCCCCCAGTGGCGTATTCTTTTCATCTAATGCTCTTGTGGTCCAAGTCGAGCTTGTACCCTAGATATCATGTTTCCTTTTACCCTGTCATTGTTGAGTGTCTGACATTAGAGGGGGAGTTGTGACTCCGCAAATCAGACTCCAAGGTGTAAATCTCGACAGCTTTTCACCAAAGATCATGGTTATTGCCTTAAATAAGTGCACATGCTCAACAGTTTGAACTTCTCTCCCAGATATCCACCTGTGATACATGTGTATTTGCAGGGCCCCAAGCTGCTGGCAGCCCCAGAATTTGGCACAGTTGCCCGCCTGCCATAATATCCTCCAGGAATTGCAAAATGAACAAAAATAGTGGAAAAACAGACAAATCTTCGCCGACTTTTCAGAAAACAAAACTGTCACTTTTAAGTAAAGCAGGAAATTCTTTGAATTCACTGTCTGTTCACATGACTGCACATGTGCAACCAAGTCACCTTAAAGGCTAACAAAGCCAAATAAACAGAAGCCCTGCAGATATAAGTTGTGATGCAACAAATTCAGTATATCTCTACTTCACCATTCTGAGAATGTCCTTGAGAATCCTAGATAGTGCGAGGCTGAACTAGGCTTTGATAAATAGCTTTTTAAAGTAAACACTGTAGAGTAAAACATGGATTTGTTTGAAGTTTGCTGGTTGATTGACTTCACCAGTTTAATTCTAAATTGGTATATGTCCTTTAGGTCAAATGACCTCATTGGAGGTTGGTTTTCCCAGTGTCTTTCATGTTGTTCTGAAGAGTGGTACAACTTGATCACCTTATTTTTAATGACTAAAGGTTTGTCTACATGGGGAAATTTACTGGCAGAACTATACTGGTATAATTATACTGCTGTAATTATACCAGTACCTGTCTCCACATGGACATAGCACTATCAGCTAACCCAGCAAAAGGCACTCTTTTCTTGGAATAAGAATGTCCACCTGGGAAGTTAAAGCAGTATAACTATATAGGTATAATTATACTAGTGTAGTTCTGCTGATCAACTTCCCCATGTAGACGAGCCCTAAGCAAGATAGAAGTTACTGGTATTTGGAGAAAAAGAATCCCATGTTTTAAAGTGAGCACTGATGCTAGTGTTGAACGTGTTATTTTGAAATTCTTTGTTTGCATTCGTGCATTTCCCAATTAAAACAGATATTTTCTGATTACTTTAACTAGGCCATGGTTTTCATTTTATGTATAAGCATTTCTGTGGTGCTCAGCATTGTAGTGTCTGAGGAAATGAAAAACTGGAGAATGCTCCCAAGTTAGATTTTTCATCCTTTTCGCATTCTCATCTTCATGTGGCAGAATGTAGCTCTCAGTGAAATCCCCCAGCTGGGGAAGGGTGGGGGTTTTTTTGTTTTTTTTTTAACTAATCCTGACTTCTGCCTTAGAGGTGAGCATTTCAGTGGTGGGTAAAGAGATTTTTCTGTGTTGGGTTTGTAAAGTGCTCTGTATTGTAAGGTACTGATCACACTTGATGTCTGTTGGAGTTGAGGGTGCTCCGCACTTTGTAAGAGAGGGACCCTAGATACTGATGATATTTTTGTTTAGCACCAGCTGTTTCCTGAGTTCTGTACAATGCACAAAAATATAGATGCTCCCTGCTCTGAAGTGTTTGCACTCTAAAAGCAGGCACACAGAAGATGGAGCAAATTAGAAAATTCCTAGGTGGGGCTATCTCCTGTAATAATTATAAGCCCCTTATAAACACTGGAGAAGAATTGGATTTTTAGGATGGATTTCCCTGAGGAGAGGGGGTGGCTTGGGGGACTGGGATAAAGAGGATGTTCCACACATTGGGAGTGGGGGGTGAGGGAGGGCGCAGCATGGAACATATTATGCAGATAGAAGTGAGAGAAACTTAAAACCATTGTCATTTAACAGTACCCAGTGATGACCATACTACTATGGGGTAAGGTGGAATTCTGAACATGCTGTATATATGGTCATTAAACGAGGTCTTCCTTCATTTTGCTGGGTTTTTGAAGATACATCCTCTTTTCCCTGATAGCTGTGTGTTGGCTTTTGTGTGTGTGTTTAACTGACCACTGATCTTGTAGCATGTGATCAGTCAGCATATGTCTGATCTCCTTGATAATGCTGCTGTGGGAAGCCACCCTACAAGAATGTGGGATGCAGAATGCCTTGCATGACTTTTAAAGGGCCAGCAGTTGGGAAGATTACCATTGGTGGAGGGCAAGTTTGACAGTTTGGGTTTGTATAAGTCCCTTCCCTACTCATTTCAGCCACATCCTTGTGTTCTCCTGACCTGTGCTAAAATAAATCTCTCTCCAAACTCAGAACAGGCCTTTCTGCCACTCCATTCCAAATCCTTTGGTGATATTCTTTTCAGTTACCTGGTCTGCTAGGCTCCCAGTTAGCTGGGCATCCAGGTTCCACTTGCTTTGGGATGCTCTCAGATCAGAGCTGTCCCCGAATGTGTTGTCTTTCTATTCCTGGGAAGTCCTGGAAGCTGTGGGATTTGAATACAGCAGCAGGGACTGCTGGTTCTGCTCAAACACAAAAATGGAGGCCTGTTGGGGGGTCATAATAGAAAAAGATGGAGAGGTCCTGGCCTCAGCCATCTAAACCTTAAAAAAAAAATCGGGATGGGGGGGAGGTTGGGGACAGGGATTTGGCTTCTGATCCTTATTTGAGACGCATGATTGGTTTGGTTCTTTTTGTTCCAAACTAGTTGGCTAGTCTCTAATTTTTAACCCTTTCAGTAGTTCATTAAGGAAACACACGTACATGCTTACCCATGTCTGTTATGCATATCTATTTTTTAGTTTCTCCTTCTGCTTTACTTTTAAGTAGAGTGGTGTTAGTTGGATATGTTCCAGAGCTATAAAATGATTTGATGGCAGAACATTTTTTTAAGGTAAAGAATTCTGTAGTTCTGCAGCTATAATTGGATTTTGCAAATGTGGGATTACATTCAGTTACGTGTTGATTAGTGGAATTCTGCTGCATATACTTGGTGCAGAAAGTGGTATAGAAGTGCAGTGGAATTCAAGGGATCCTGAATGTTTCAGGAACAAATATCGTCCATTTTAAAATTCTTACATCTAGAACATCAACAGTTGTTGCTTCTCTAACTACTTAAAACATTAATATGGATAAATACAAGTTATAATCCTGTTCCGTTAGAATTTCTGCAGTCCTGTTAGATAATTTCCATTAAATAATTCCCTTCTTGTAGGGCAATAAGTTTTTGGTTTTTTTTTTTAACGGGCTGAAGTGGAAAATTTTCAAACACAGGTGCCTCAAATTAGGCTCCTAAATCCAATTTTAGGCTCCTAAGTACAAGTGGCTTAATTTTCCAAAGTACTGAAATTGGTGTCCAAGATTTTAAAAAAGCAGAATCTAACTTTTGACCCAAGATTTTATGTAACATGGGGCAAATTTTTCATTTCATTTTCAAATGTCCATGTTTTTAAACCAAGCCAGTGTTAGATTCTTAAGGCAAATGATTCTGTTTCAAATGGAAAAATGAAAAACCAAGCACCCCATCCTAGTATATAGTTAGAAAATTAGATAGTACAATGCCAAACAGAATGTGCTTTCAAGTATTTTGTACAACTTGTTAACAACAGTCCTGAAAGAACCAATGTATGTATCTTTACTCTTAGGTCTTTTCTATTTAGAGGTATTGGTAAATCTTAGTTTAGGGGTTGAAGGAGTTTTAAAGATATTTTTTGCACAATACACTATAAAATGTGCTTTTGTAGAATATCGGTTATTGCTGAACTTATCCTGGTATGTTAAATTTTCTTTGTTACATCAAAATAGTATGTCAAGTGTTCTGTTAAGTACCCAATCCCATTCCTTTTCATTAAGTTGTAGCAAGTTGATCTTCACAGCAAGGTGACAGGGATCAATGACAAAATGAAACATTTGAGCTTCGCAGTTAGCTACTTAAAATTTGTCTTTTATGGTAACTATATTTTTTAAATAATTTTTTTAAATGGATTCTTTAAGGCTCCCCAGAGACCTTATAACATTCTGCCCTTTCCCCATTCTGGTCCTCACTCTTGTTTAATGATTGGATGCCATCTTACAATAATAGGCAATGAAATTAAAATTAAAAGAATTGTGCAAAGTTTGTCCCCATCATTGTAAACTACTTCTGCCAAGGACTCTTTGTTTTGTTTTTTTTTTGAAGCCATTCAGGTATTCATTCAGACTCTGTTATCTTAAATGTCATCTTTGTTAACCTCAGCCTCTGTATCAGCTGCATAACCAGGATTGGATAGAACCTCATTGTAATTTTGTAACAAAGATCATAAAGGAAAAAATCCAAAGTGAAACTTGAATATATCATGTATTCAGCATCAAGTATGGAGTCCAATCTTACAAACCATTACTGCTCACCACAGTGCCTACTGCAGTTATTTCTATCCCCTTCATACTACCGCACTTACAATGTGAAAAACTCAATCTCTCCAGCTATAAAACAGGATAAATTCTTCCCAGTCAGTTATGTCCTGGCCACCATACTAGCAAATAATGCTGGCTGAAAACACTTTTTAAAGCTGTTTCCCCTCCCATTCACCCACCCTCTCAGTGGTTTGGACAGTGCTATTGTTTTAAATGTTCAGTGAATTCTAAGAAAATGTCTCTCTCTCCTGTCTTGCATTTACAGTCTTTCATGTAAATCCATGAAGATGTCTGAAATAACAAATGTCTTATACCAATGATAATGCTTGAGAAAAGCAGGCCTACTGCACAGTACATATAAAAATAGTTTCCTTACTACAGGAAATATATTAGTAAATGTCAATTACTGAAATTTCTTTTTCCCTTATCCAAAAAACAAGTGACTGTATCAACATTATGAATTTAAAACATTCAGAGGTAGAGAAGAGAGACTTGCATACAAATAACCAGAAGAGAAATCAGGGGCTAAGGGAAGAGATTGTGAAAGTTAAACTGAAAAAATATTGTAAAGCTATCGGTAGTCGCCTCTCATAGTAATTCGCTGCAATAAACAGAAGTACAAAGTGACCAGTTGCTACCAAACTGTCAGCATGTAATTTACAGACATGATACTGGTGTTCAAGAGAGAAGATTTAAAACTTCTGATACTTTAAATATAAAAATAACATTTTTCACCATGGAGCCAATTTTAGCCTCTGATTTTGCGTTCAGAAAATCACACCAACAAAGTCTGCATTACCATGTATACGTGCAAAATTAGAGCTTGGTATGAAGTCAGCTCAAACCAGAACTTTCATACTGTAATTCCACAGCAGATCATTGAGTTTTGGGTTTTACTATGGCCTTCTTGGTTATCAGCTGTAACTTACTCTTCCACACTGCCACGATTATAGATTGACTTGCAATGCGGTAGCTGTGAATGTGAGTTGGAAGCTGGATCAGTGTTTGTTTGCTTGATAGCACGCAGTGCGCTGTGCGGAGTTTGGTGTTGAGAGAGCAGTTTGAGTTTAATCTTGTATTTATAGCCTGTGTTTATTTCAGGTTCTTCATCTCCGGCTCGTCCAGCGACTCCACTGGCTGCTTGCAGCAGCACCACCCCACCGCCTCCTCCACCTCGGCCCCCATCTCGGCCAAAACTGCCTCCAGGGAAGCCTGGAGTTGGCGATGTGGTATGTTCGCCCTCTTCATAACCCCTAATGAGAAAGGGATCTCAGAATGAATCAGGAATTTCCTGTTTGTTTCCAGTCTGATAAAACAAGTTAATAGAACTGAGCAAGTAATTCATAGCAAATAAATGAGTCTGCAAATGGTCCCTGACCAGTTCAGTTTTCTATAATTTATTCATCATTGGAAATTACACACGGGAGAATTTCTGTGAATGATTCTTGATCTGCTGATGGCTTGCTAACAGTTCACTGTGAGTATTCAGTATGTGCAGTATGGGCTGTTTGCTAGTTTTGATTGGACGCAGTAGACTGCCCGTTCCCTGTTTTGGATAAACCCCAACTCTTAGAATCAGGATTTTTGGTGCAAATACTCATGTTTATCAATTCAAGATTCACTTTCCTAACATATTTTCTAACATTGCCTTAAAATATGCTAGTTGTTGAAACATTCCTGCCACTAAATTTGTTCACTAGACTGGTTGCAGAAAGCCGAAACAAAAGGGACACCAGTGCAGCTAAAGTGAATTATTTTTGAGTTAATATTTTTTTCCAGTTAATAATTGAGTCCTACAGGTTAAAAACCAAGAGTATCCTGCAGCAAAGTGTAGATTTAAATAATGGAAGATGGCACGCTCGTGCACACATTTTACATGTCCTAAAACTTCCTTTCATCTGAAAATCCTCAGAAATAATGATGTGATTATAATAGGCTGTGGCTCTTGTGCCAACAGAATTAGCAAGTATTCTAGTTTGCATGGGACTTAGTATCATTCTACAGTAGTTTGCTTAAGTGTCTTGTCATAGGAACACTGGGAAATCCTGCTTGGCTGGTGAGGAGGGGAAAGATGTGTTCTAGTCTTGGTGGTATATCACACCACAATAATTATCCTGTGTCCCCATTTTTAAATGCTGTATAAATAAGAACAAAATGTATCATTAAAATGGTATGATTAGTAATACTGTAAAATATTGCTACGAACCTTCTCTATATTCATGCATTGTGGAATTAAGGCCCATTCCTGAAAGCGCTATGCATGTAGAATACTTAGTACTGTTTAGAACTCTACTAGCCAGTGAGAGTTTTGCCTGCAGAAGGATTCCAGAATCATGCCCTGAAAAAATAATTTTCTTTTTCTTTGGATTTATATGTATATCTTTTCATCACAGTGGGTTGGCTCCTCTAGGACCTAATGCACACTTACTGCTTCAAGTGGGTTATCACAAGGTTTAATGTGTGTGAATCCAGCCACAAGTGGTAACTCATTAAATAATTACTTTGTGTGATATTTACCCATAACATATCATCCATCCTGCATTTTCTCGACTTAAATTGCCATCTTGTAGTTACATGGTGTTGCAGGGTCTGAAGCAAACGCTGGGCCTTCCGTGTCTAGAATTCTCTCCTCTCGCTCCTGTTTGTTTTAAAATTGTATAGCACTGTCAAGTTTTTGAAAATTGTAAAAATATTTTGTGGCCCGAGAGGATAAAACAGACTTAGACTTACAAGACAGAATTTTACACCGATTTTCCGAGACCCTATCTTCTTTAAAGCCTCATTTGTATTAAGATCCACATTATTTACTGTGCGTGACACAAGGATCCCAGAAGAAGGTATTAAGATTACTGGTGTATATAAAGCCTTATGTCTTGTGTTTATATTTGGTGTAAATGTTACAGTATGTATATTTTTAATCTTGCGTTATTTTGTGTTTTTCTACAGTCCAGGCCTTTTAGCCCTCCTATTCACTCATCCAGTCCTCCTCCGGTAGCACCTTTAGCCCGTGCTGAAAGTACTTCTTCCATATCATCCACCAATTCCTTGAGTGCAGCCACTACTCCCACAGTTGGTAAAAACCACAGGTTTCTTTTGTAATCTTTTATAGAGTTGAATGGCTTTTTTAAAAACTTGAGTTTCTGAAACCCTCTACTTTGTTATATCATTTTCTAAATTTTTGCTTTCATGTTCATATTCTTTTAAAGCAGTTTAAGTGAAAGAGTAATCCAGGTATGAAATATTAAACTGATACCAAGCATATACATGAGTTTTCTTGTTCTGTTGGATATAAAAGTGTGTTAAGAGTATGGGTATTTGGTAACAGTAGAAGATATCACCAATGAAGTATGGTGTTAGTATTAATCGATATCTGTAAACTTAGTCAAAAGAAGAATGGGAACATTTTTCTTTTCCTTTTTGGCGGGAGGTGGATTAGGGGGAGCCAAGATTTGAAATTGGATGGTGGCATCCTGGAAACAATTACTCCTAAACCGTGTCGAGTTTTCAATCTGATATTTGCCTTTAAACTAATAGATAGCAAAACTTTGGGGTCTTGCAAAAGCTTTAGAACTTTTCAAAACAATTAAGGTTTCTGATACATCTTACAACTTGGAAAATTGGTGCAGTTTCCTTCTAGAGGAAACTAAAACACTCTTTAAAAACTTGATTAACTTGCTAAGTAGATAAGGTAACATTTTCTGGAGTGGGAAAAAATAAATACAAAAAATATTGTAAGGCTGACAGCTCCTAGGTTTGGATGTTTTGAATCATGGCTTTCTTCCTGTGGGGCTCCTCCCTTCTCTTTCTTGATACAGGAATCTCTTTTATTCTCTCTGTCTCTGCCTCTTTCTCATTTACGAGGTTTTTTGCTCTGTATCCTCTTATGGACTCTTATCTGCTGCAGACTCCAGGTCTCTTTTTTCCCCTCTCTCTCTCATATTCCCTCTGTCTTCATCAAGACACCTCTCTCTCGCTTCTGTAGATCTTCAGTCCCTTCTTTGTTCCAGGTGTTCTCCTCATTTTCCATTGTTTTTGCCCCTTATCTCTGTCCCACTGTCATTGCTGCTATCTGACTGAACCACGTCTCGCCAGTTCTCCTACCGCTTGCTTCTTACATTCTCCATTTTCTTTCAGGACCATTTTCAGTTCAATTACTATATGAGATTTGCTTCGTGGGGGAAGGGGACTTGCACTACCACTGAAATTGTTTTTCCTGGCTAGTCTGAAGTAACCAGTGTAGCTCTCCCAAATGGAAGCCAATTTGCTATTGTTAAATGTTCAAACCCAGGACATCTGAAAATCAAAATTAATTAACTCAAGTGTGTGTGTTGTCCCCACTTTGATATTGAATGGCATTACGTTTGGAGAGCCTTGAAGTATAGTATTAACAAACAGTCTTTATTCCTAATACAAAGAGAAGATTTTAGGAATTGTTTTTGTTTGTTGAAAATGGAGGTGGTTTGAGTCTGAAACCTAGATTCAACCTTTCTTCTCAAACATGAAGAAAGTCTAGATCTGAATGTTTGCAGTTTGCACCTGTCTCTGGCTAAAACCCAAGAGCATTTTCATTTCTTTATGTATTGTTTGCTGTAGCTTTGATTTATTGTGTCTCCGTTCTACCATTTTTTCATTTTCCCGTGCCTTCTTTACATTTGTATCCTCTGTTCCCATTTCCAGGTGGTCACCATTACAGCAGTAGCATGTCCCTGAAATAAATGCATTTCAACCAGTCCAAATTAGGATGTATTTTCCTCTAATGCACAGAGGACTGTGTTCAGCAAGGATCCATACTCTGTATTTGCTAAATGTCATGAGGACTAAATGGCAAAAAATGTGAGATTTGTAATTCTCATATAGCATCTCTGAAATTGGTATTCATTAACATAGGTTTTCATTTAATATTTGGATCCTTATCAGTGAGCACACTTTGAAAATAGAATAGCAGATAGCAGAAAGAAAGCAAGTGTAAATAAAGAACACGCTGATTTGTGTTTCAGATATGCTATGAAAAGTTTGAATGAAATTTAGATGAGTCTCCAGGCAGGTCTAACTATTGAGATAAATATGCCATGTTTTGCCAACACTTCAGCATTCGTGTTATCACTGGGATTGAACAATCTTTTCCAATGTAAGAAAAATAAAAATGCTTCCCCTCCTTAATCATATTGAATTCCTTTCTACCTATTTAATTTCCTGGACATATATATTTTGTCAGTGGAAGGAAAATCTCTCTGCTTCTCTCATACATGATTTTCATTCCATTCCTTCAGTCAGTATAGAATGTACCAGGAGGAGAACACAAGACAATGTTGCAAAAATACTTCCTTTAAGGTTCTAGCACAAAAAAGCAGCTACTGGTATTTAGTTACCCTTTTCATTGTTGGATTGTACTTTTGGGGGATGAAAGCAATACTAGTTGAGGTGAAGGTTACAGCTTTGAGCATCAGATCAAGGTTATTGGGGTAGAACTTTGGTATAAGTGAATTACTCTGAGTGATAGGTGAACTGCAAAAGGTTCAGAGGTTTGATCAGAGCAGCATCCAAAAATGAGATGCTTATTATGATAATCACTGAACTATCTAAACTTCTTTTGTTTAATTGTTAATCTCACAAGAAGTAGGTAGCTTTTGTCTGAATAAGGGGTTTAAGATCTGATCTTCCTAATTATACTGAGATAGTTCCCACATCAAGATAATAAATTAAATTTTTCTTGTGCAGTAGGAGCACACAGTACAATTACCTTAAAAATGAGAGAGCCTGCACAACTGCATATCACAAGATCTATGGAATGTTCTATGAGTGCCATCTTGAATTTGTTCCTTCAGGAAATTAATCCCTGTGGTGGCTGCTTAAGCTTTTAAAGTGTTGGGTTTTTTCAGTTTTATTGGATGTAGGCAATGCTTCCAATAAACAATATTTAAATTGCTTTGAAGATGCACCCTTTTAAAAGCTACCTAAGTGACCCTGGGCACCGACACTTCATCTGGAGCAAATTTAAAATTGTGGCTCCTATATTGCCCTACAAAATTCCACTCTGTCTTGTAGGATTTCCACCCTTTTGAAGAGGTAGCAGTGCAGGGAAGCTGCTTCCTTTTTGGTAAAGCAAGTGCAGAAGGTACAGTTCTGTCATGACTCCTCCCTCCCTTGCCCCTCCCATTTTTTCTAATGGCCCCTGTGTATGTTGGATCTCTAATTTGAAAGAAGTAATATTTTTGCATGAGGAAGTATACATACTAGAAAGGGCAAGTCTAATTCCTTCCAGAGGGGCTCACTCAGCCAGTTGCAGTATATCTCTACATACCATGACATCATTACAGGGTTCCTATTTTAACACAGATGAGTTATTACTGAATAAATTCTTCAATGCACTAGCCACAGACAGGCTTTCTTTAGCATCAGGAATGAATGTCTTCTCCCTTCATCTTTTTAGTAAACAAGTGTATTTATTGTAGCCATTAACAGGACAGCCATGCACTCCATTTCACATTCTAGTTCCTTTGTGTCCACATGAACCCTCTTCCTGAGTAGTGTTGGCGTGTGGGAGCATATTCCTCAGATATATCTTTGTTTTGCCGAAGTCCCCCTTCATTTGTCCATGTCACAAGCCACGTGGGAGTGCTTACTGCTTTCTCCCAGAAGCAGAGTGGTTCTGAGGAGTGATTGAAGTTACCAGTTCATTTAAAATCGAAATGTATCCTTGTCATGTTACCTGGAAGTGTGCACAGATGTTAGCAGAGAAGGCAGAGGTAGGCGGTTTTTTGAGAGGTATCAGCTGTTCCGAAGCATGGGCAAACTTTCATGGATTATTGTGTTATCATTTCATATAGAGGTAATTCAAGTGCCACTCAGAAACCAACAGCAACCCACCCCATGTGTAGTGGGGCAGCTGCCCCACTCCCACAGAATTGGGGTTAAAGGCAGCCCTGGAGAGGGCTGCAGCTGGGAAATGGAGTGAGAACAGCTGGGGGAAGCTGTGGGGAAGCAACCACAGCTGTGGCCAGCTCAATTAGGGCCCAGCTGGCCCTATAAGAGGGCTGAGGGCCAGAAGCTGGAGAAGCTGCTGAGGAACATACAGTACCTGAAGTAGAGCAGCGCTGGGGAAGGGCGAGGGAGCTGGGGAGCTCCAGCCTGGTAAAACCCCAGGCTGCAGGCCTTGGTGAAGGCCTACAAAGGTACTGGGGCTGCAGAGGGGCAGCCCACAGATAGGCAAAGGCAGCAGGTCCTAACCCCTTGCCAGTGATGAGTGGCCACTAGACTGCAGTCTGCCCCAGTGAGCAGGGGCTAGATGATGACTGGCAGTAGCCACTGAGGTAAGGTGGGTCTAGAGGGCTGGGGGTTCCCTGGGAGGGGAGACCCAGAGTGGGGGTCCTGTTGGGGCAGAACCCCAGGGAAAAAGGCACCAGGGTCCGGGAGGGACACGGGGCCAGCAGCAGGCGAGACACCGGCCTGCAGAGGGCGCTCCAGTGCTGGTGAAGAGCTAATTCCCTGGACGACCAGCAGGAGGCGCCGCATCAGTGAGCATTGCCCCGCTACACCAGGATTCCTCTATGTAATAGAAAGGTTAATGTGTGACTCTCTCTATGTCTGCTGAATATGCCATTGGCTGCTTCCATTTTAACCTGATGTTGATTTTTTGCTACAAATTAATGGGGTCAGAGGCCGCAGGTAGGCCTATGCTAAAGCAAATAAAGTTGTATGTTTTTGCTGCCAAAAGAGTGTTGAATAAGAACATAAGAATGGCCATACTGGGTCATATGAATGGTCCGTCTAACCCAGTATCCTGTCTTCTGATAGTGGACACTGTCGGACGCTTCAGAGGGAATGAACAGAGCAGAGCAATTATCAAGTGATTGTCCAGTCCCAGCTTGTGGCAGTCAGAGGTTTAGGGATGTCCAGAGCATAAGCTTGCGTCCCTGACCATCTTGGCTAATAGCCATTGATGGACCTATGCCTATCCTCCATGAACTATCTAATTATTGTTTTTTAGCCCGGTTGTACTTTTGGCCTTCACAACTTCCCCTGGCAGTGAGGTCCACAGGTTGACTGTGTATTGTGTGAAGTAGTACTTCCTTTAAGCTGCGGCAGAGAGGCAAGCAAACAGTGGTTGGCTTAAGGCAGCTTTGTGTCATTAAAAGAAAAGAGCAGTAGTTGTGGAACATTCGTAGCTCAGAGACTACATTAGCAGTGACTCATAGTCAAAACTACATCTGACCACTCCTGAACTAGCCTCTTAGAAAGGGATCTCTGTACTTATATTTGACAACCCCACAGGTTTACCTTGTGGCACAGTAAGTGGTCTTGTCTTTTTTTTATATTTTTTTGAATTTTTTTAAGCGTATTGGACTTGCATTGTGTTGAGGCACAGATGTACTGGCTGCTCTTTAGACTTATATAGTCATAAAAAAGACATTCCCTGATCATTTGTCTGTCCATTTGAAATACGTATCTGTGCCTCAAGTCCAAATATAGTAACGAACAGAGCTTTTAACTATCTCCACTGTGCTGTTAGAGATTTGTTTCCGAGTTGCAAAGATTATACCATTTGATGGACCTTATCCAAAAGAATATTGAACAGAATGATTTTATTTGTCTGTTCTTGTGATTTGGTTTTTTCTTTGTTGTTGCTTCTGCAGTTTGAATAACACAAGAAAAAGACTCCATCGTTTTTATTTCAGTGACCTTCAAATTATTTTTTTCATTTAAATTCTTATGTTTTGTTGATATAGTACACTGCTTGATTTCATTTGGGATTTGTGTTTTCATTCTTTTGTCTTTTACGTTTCTTTTGCTCATGGTATCAGAAGATGATGCTTTTATTGACAAACTGCCCTCGTTTGAAAGGCGCTGTGAAACGCCTGCAGGTACTGTATTAGCAGAGTGGTTTCAAGAAATCTGGATTAAAACTCCCAAGCCATTGTCTCATAAAAATGCCTATAAAACTTACGGACATGCTTTCTCCTCAACCACCATGAATGTCCAGTGCATATGACACATGTTTTAAAATGGAACTTGTACCACAAAAAATAGCAGCACATTGCATGACAGTTTCTCAGTGACCAAAAAGATTGAGAGAGGGGATATGCTACTGTTTTGTGAATTTAAATTGAAGGAATAAATTTAACTGCTCAAAAATACATTTTCTAATTATTTGAAAAGTACGTAATATCTATGATGTTTGTTCTCCAATACTTTCAAGGTGGTGTGAGTCCAGGTAAACTGGTAATTCTGGAGGGAAGGGGACAAAATTCAGTTAGACACTTTCTACTCCAGGTGCTGCACCTGGAATTTTATGTCCTAAAATACAATTTTAAAATATACAAACATTTTACAATAAAAATATTTTTAACACCAACAGACAATGCAAAGTACAGCATGCTGCCCAATACAGTTTGCTAATCCTATTTAAGCACCATAGAGACACCACTGGAGATGAAGAGCATAATGCAAGTGACGAAGTTTGTCAAAACAAGTGCAGTTAAATATACTAACCCAGCCTGCATGAACAGGAAGCCTCTTCTACTCCATTCATAGGCAACTACTATCAAGCGGGCAAAAACACCCCTCCATCTAGTCTTCCATAGCTTGCTTTTTGCTTTCTGTTTTCTAAACCAAAAAACAGAGTTAAACACCATCCCCCTTTTCCTTGCACGTTAACGGCTTGCAGTGCCTCTTCCCTCCCCCATAGTGAGATAAGTTACCTGCTCTGTGACTCACACTGTGTCCTTCTCTCTCCCTCTCCTTAACCTTTCCCATCCCGCTTCAACTCCTGGCCATACAGAGAATGAACAGCCTTCCCTCGTTTGGTTTGACAGAGGAAAGTTTTATTTGACTTTTGAAGGTAAGTAGTACATAGCATATCAGCTTGTAACTTACTCCCCTTTGCTCTTACTATTTAAGTCCTATGGTTTACTTCAAAAGTTCCCTTCTAACTTTTTGTATGAAAATGCTATGGCTACTTAGATGACATCATATCACAAGTTCAACAAGGATCATTTAAATTTGATTTGTGCATTTGTCTCCCTTCAATTACTTTTTTAAAGGACAAAAAGAGACTATTCTTATGTAAATTAAGAATATATTCTACAGAACAAAATCACTTATATTGCCAAGGAACTTGACTCTGTCAACCAGGGCTTCTTTTTACACTCTTCTGCAAACCACGTGGTACACTAAATGTATTGCTACACAATATGATAACTGAAACCTAAATTACTATTTTATTTTCTATTGGCCTTTACCCTCTTCTGGGTGATTTAACTAGCATTAGCCCACTGCCCATTTTAAACTTCCTAGAAAACCTGTGACATACTTAAGGTATTTTGGAGAGTAATGTGAAAATAACATCTGTATGATTATCTTGAGGGTGCTACTCATCATTTTGTAAAAGTAGGAAATCAGGAAATGTGCCCTACAGCTGCTGTACAAAATTCATCAGCATCTGCATAATCCCAGCATTGTATCTAATTAATTTTCAGACAGTCTATAAAATTGAGTTATCCTTCTGAATTAATGAGCTGTCCAATTAGTCTGTTCACTTTGAATTACACGTAACCTTTACCAACTCTTGTATTATAGTGGAGTCTGTAAAGTCTGTTCCTTATAAATTCTTGTTTTCAGAGATTTATTTAAGTCAATTTTAAAAACTCACTTGAGGCTAAAAATGCAATCATCTATCCTGGAAACAAATTAAAACACAATCTGTTTGACCTTTAAGTTTTAAGTGTGTGCAAAAGAAAAAAAGTCACTTTACTGGTCTGGGTGGTTTACATGAGTTTATTGCTAATAAGAATTACTAGGTTGACAGCACTGGAGACTGAAGTCGTCTGTGTATAAAGAGAATAGGCACCGTGGGCAAAAGTAGTGCAAGCTGCCCCTCCCCACTAAGGACCTCGAACTTGACCTAGGGGGACTAACTTTAAGAGGTGAAAGAGTAATTGAGTCTCCATGCCCATTCAGCGTTTAGCCTGCCATTAGAGATGACTAGACAAATCTGATCGTGGCTTAGTGAATTGGGCACCTGTCTAATAGAGATTGGACTGAGACCATCAATTTTCCCATAGGCAGCAGATTAGCTATCAAATGGTGGTAACTGTAGGACGCTAGCAACTTAGACAGATGGTGTATCTATGGATAATTTGAATAGAACAGGAGTGAGTAATCCTCTGGGCCATCCAGTTCCTCTACTTTTTGATATTGAAAAAGTTTTGGCTGAGTTATTAACATTGGAAAATCAGCTGCTGTTTACCCATCGTACCTGTTTTACAGTAAGGCTGTAAAATACCTGTACTACAAGTCTTATGGTCTATTTGCCTACTTGGATGAGGGGAGTCTTAGTGCTTTTAAATTGTGCTGCAGAGATGCGAGGCTTATGTTGTGGTGTTTAGGGAAGTATATAGATTATATTTTAACATTACTTCTTGAGCTAGAATATGGATCAGGGAGATGGGCAAGGAGAGATAAAATCTGATTCCTAACTTATGGCAATCTTCTCAAAATTTCCAGGGTTTTAAAATAAAATTTATGTAGTACTTATACACAGTATTTGGGAGGAGTTATAGTCCTCTCTCAGCATTTTAGAGGTGGGTATATTCTATCCAGGACTGAGTCCAGTTCAGGAGCTCTAAGGTAGGCAAAGGGTGGTAGATAGACAATGGACAGTGCTTCAATAACCTCAATAAATCAATTTGATTTTAAATAAAACCATGAGTATCATTCTTACAATCTTTTCATCTGAATATCCATTGGAAGAGGCCAAGGTTAAACTCCCTTAGGGTGTTACAAAATCTGTGATGGAATTATTACTTTCCTTCTGGTCATTGACTTTATCCCAAAGGTTGTCGTATCAGTGGATCTGAGAGATCTGGCATCTTATTCTACAGTTGTTTCCAACTGTTTGGATTAGAAGATATCCAGAGTGAAGATGTGCCAAGTCTTGTTTCTTAATTTAGAATCCTTGAAAAAAGGATAATAAGGAGGAGGCAAATCATAGGAGTCTCATCACTGTCTTGCTATCTGAAGTCTTCTATGATTGTGCTTATGTTTACTGCTAGTTGCTTCTTTGGATGCCCTAATTGTTAAACAGATCTTTTCATCATCAAGGAGCCAGGTGATTTGGGGGACTTACTACTTTTTTTGTTTGTAGATAACTTAGAAAGTTTTCCTCTGAATCAGAACCAAAAAAGCATTCTCTTTCTTTTCCCTCTAGTAAAAGTTTCCCAAACAGAAAACTCTTTGGCTTCTGTATGTACTATTTCAGGTTTCTTCTGTACTAACTCTATTATGGGTAAACAATCCTAGAATTTGCTTTCATCACTCAGCATTTAGATTGTTGAATACATCAGCTGGCTTTCAGCATTTTCTGTGATTAGAGTTATAGCTGCCAAGAATTTCCTTTGAGCTGCTAATATCTTGAATAATCTGACATGGCTCAACTGAGGTAAAGTGCCCATATTCCATCTCCTACCAGATATTTTTCTTAGGCTTCATTTAATGAAGTTGTTGCCAATATAATGCCAAACTGGTTCTGAAACAAGGAGGGTATCTTGGAACAGAGTATGCAAGAACTGGGGTATGGGTTACCCTCTTGACTAAGATCAAGTGCAGTATACAATCACTAGACCACTGGTAAAAATTCGGGCAGACTGATTATCAAACATTTGTAACAGATCATCCCTAAATTGCACAGAAAAAGGTTTTTGATAATTGTGATCTCTTAGCCTTGATGTTTAATGACATTCTTACTCTAGGTAACAGTTCTGTACTGGGAAAGGGAATGGACACAATACCCTGATGGGACTTTCTTGATTGGTTTCTATGATAAAAACAGTTACTCTCTTCTCTTATATGAAGACTGACTACACAGTTCTAAGGTGTATATTCTACCATTATCATTATTTATTTAATCCCAATTAGTTTATTTTCCCCCACTTGCATTCTTAACCTTCAGTATTGCAACAGTTTTTATAATCTGATTTTTGTGTGCTTTCTTATAATATTCCAACAGACTTTAACTTGTAAAAATTCATTGAAAGAAAAACATAAAATTGTAAAAACGAAGAATATTATTGCTGTCACAAATGCTATATATGTGGATCAGTGTAATCTCCTAATTGGTTTATGGAGACCACATCATCTGTTTTTTTCCCTTAATAGTACAAAAACAAGGGGATAGCCAGTGAAATGGAAAGGCCATGCATTTAAACCTGCATTTACACAAATCTAAAGCCAGAATGTTAAAACCACTGCCAACTGACAGGGTTTAGGAAGAAATTTCCCTGTGGGCAGGTTATTTCATAATTGTCCATAACAGGAGTATCTGGCATCTTCTTTCAAAGCATTTGGTATTGGCCGCTGTTGGAGAAAGGATACCAAGCTAGGTGTACTAAGTTAGAGAGTGAAGAAGAAAATCTTGTACCTAGCTCCCTCTTTGGACAGACATGTTTGTAGATGCAAAAGAATTACATATTCCTTCAAAAGTTAATTGTTTCTAACATTCATTAAATTGGCTCAGTAATCACCAGATTAGAATGCAATATATGACTCAGCCAAGTATGTTGGGCCATCTCATTTTGAGATAATACATTGGCCATTGTAGACACAGCAGATGTGTAGGCTTGAAGATTCACATTTTAAAGAGCATGGCAGAGTTCTATTGTTAGAAGTTAAGTACTGCCGCCAAGCCTATACACACACAACCATTCAGTTACTCAGGTAGTCATGTCTGGTGGAGCTGTTCTGACCAGTTGACAGTTTGCTAAATATCCTCTGCCTCTGTTCAGAATAGTCAGATCGTGTTTACTGAGAGAAATTTCCCTCTGTTTCATCGACAAAGCTAGATGTGGCCCGGTCATGGAGTTGGGTTTCACCGGGATTCATGTCAGAGGAGACAGTTGGGATTTCTTCTCTGGAGTGATTTGGTAGATTTCCTCACCTTGGTTCTGAATGTGCTGGGGGGGAACCATAGTCTGTGGTCTGTGAGGTGGACCTATACTGCTTGTGGCTTGTGAAAGCAAGTGAGGTATTGGGTCTACTGATGTTAAACAGAGTTGGCTTGCTCAATCTGTGTGAGGCAGAAGTGTGCTTTGGTTCCCCAGATATCCTCAGAAGGCCTTCAGCAGGTAGGCCCTAAGATTCTGCTCTGTCTCCTAGACTCTTGTTCAGTTTCCTATCAGCAATCCCCTTCCTCAAAGAGAGGGTGTTGGTGGCATGGATGCAGGGGCTTTGTAGGTATGATAGTACTACCTTAGGCAGTATTGTATTTTGCCAGAGATTCTCTGCTGGTTGTCAATAGGAAAAGCATGTGCAAATGGTATACCCATCCCCCCCAGTTCTTGATTCACTCCTTCTCAAACTAATAGGGTGGCAATGTCTCAGCAGCAGCTGACCCACCCTTGTTCACCCCACCCCTGTTCTACATGCAGATCCCCAATGGGTAATCTGGACCTTCTTGTATATCTTGATGAGTACATGCTAGAAAAATTGTGAGACAATAATACAGGTTGTTTGAAATGAATACAGTTGAATAAAGCAATTGCACTTCTACATATTATAGCTCTAATTTTGCAATATTCCTTTATCTATCCCTAAGTTTTGGAGTCCAGATTTATTTTTGGATTTGACCTATGAGTTGTTCTACAATGGTATAAAAGGAGATCTACAGCATTTGGAATTTGTTAGCACTATTAACTCAGTGAATGATACACCAGAAAAATGGATTTCTTGCTAAAGATTGTCAGCTACTGTAGATTTGGGAATCAGGTGATATATGAAAGGGTTCTGCATGATTTTGTTCTGATGTTATGCCATCTCAATGTTTGTTCAAAGTTGATTATATTGAAC